TGAGTTTTTTCTTCTCTATATCAGGGAAATTTTATGTCATTATTTCTCCAAACAGGTTTCCTATTCCTTGATCAGCTTCCTCTCCTTCTGGCATCCCTATTTTGCAGATGTTGTTTCATTTCCTGTTGTCCCAAAGCTCCCTTAGGCTCTCCTCCTGCTTTTTAAGTTTTTTTTTTCTACATGCTGCTCTGATTGGATATTTTTTCCTACCTTGTCTTCTAGCTCACTGATGCAGTCCTCTACTTGTTCTAGTCTACTGTTGATGCTTTCTATTGAGTTCTTTATTGCAGCAATGTCATTTTTCATTTCTTCTTGATTCTTCTTCATTTCCTCTTGGTTCTTACACATATTATTGAATTTGTCTTCTATCCTTTTTAGGGACCTTATGACCATTTCTCTGAATTCTTTCTCTGACATTTTGCTTGCCTCCATTTAATTTACTTACTTTTCTGGTGATGCCTCCTTTTCTTTTGTATGTGGTCTGTTTCTTTGTCTCCCCGTGATCACCCCTCTCTGGATGTCTGGTTATGTAGCTCTCTCTCTCCTGCATTGCCTTAAAGGCACATAATACACTACAACAATACACAGTGCACAGGGCACCAAACACAAATGTATTTACAATACTAATAACCCCAAATAAAGGTGACCACCAGAAAAAAGAGAGTTAGGGGATAGAAAAGAATGCAAAAATGATATTGAGAAAAGGAAAAGAATTTTAAAAAATGAATAGAAAAAACAAACAAACAACACACACACAAAAAACAAACAAAAGGGAAGTAAAAGAAAATCTGGATATTGAAGAAAGGGAAAAGTGTGTATGGGCTTGGAGCAGGGGAGTAGAAATTAGATATATGAGTGAGATCAATTTTTTTTGAATTTTCAACAAAATGCTTTTTATTTAATTCACTAGAAATCACTTCACTGATTAAATCATCAGGAATTTTCAGCACAAACTTTAACATCTTAATGACCACTGAGCCTGGGCCCTGGGGCTTCTCTGCCTCTCTCTGTCCTTAAAAGGGTTTGGAGGAAGAGGCATCATTAACAGAGACCAGGTCAGATGGCTGCAGGTCTTCCTTTCCCAGGCATTGGACAAGCTGCTCAATTCTTGTCCAGAGCAGGAAAGGGACAGTATTTCAGAAAAGTCTAGTAAAGAACCTGTCATTGCATTATAAGATCTTTCTTAACAATTTATCAACCATTTTGGTCCAAAAATAGTTGCATATGTATATGTATTTCCCCCCAATTCTCTCAGATGGAAATTTCCTCACTCTGCTCTTGGAAAGAGGATACAGGTTTTTGTGCTCCTCTTCCAAGCCAAATAAAACCACCCTCCCCAAAGTCCAAAATGATACTTCTGGCCTTGGATGTGCAGCTTCTGATGGGCTGACTCAAATCACCTAGAAAGGGCAACTGTGGGGCTACTATGCGGGCAGCCTTCTTTGGAAATCTGTTCCTAAAGTCAACTCTTCAGAACCATCCATGATTGTGTGCACAGGCGGTAAGGTCCAGACAACTTCTGCTCTTCCATCTCAAGAGCTAGGTGCAGAGGAGGCGTTGGGATGGTCTGGAGCCAGAGCGGTAGCAGCGGTCCCACGAGGCAGGACCTCAATAACGCGAGGCTTGTCAATGATGCGGGCCGTCCGGTTGCCCTTTTCCACAATGCCAACGATCCAGGCCTGGTGACCCTCTCCGTACTTGGAAGACTTAATCTCAGAGCAAAAGCGGGCAGCCTGTTCCCTTGGCAAACAGATCAGCAACCCCCCCAGAAGTTTCTGCCGAGGTTCCCTGAAGGAGCCCAAAGCGCCCACTGGCCTTGCTGATGGCGGCCATCTTGGCAATGATGGGCAGGTTGTGGATGACAAAGGACACCTCGTTTCTTTGTTGTTTGGCAAGATTCTGAGCGTGCCCCAGAATGCCAAAGCCTGTGATATCGGTGGCTGCATGGGCATTAAACGTGTGCATCAGCCCTGCGGCAGTTCTGTTCAGGGTGGCCATATTGAACATGGCTTCCTGATAGGCCAGCTCCACCTCTTCTCTGGAGACCACCATCTTGATCTTATTCCACCTTTCAGGGTTATCCAGCCACTGGTGGGCATTGACAGCCACCTGGGTCCCTAAGGGTTTGGTTAACACCAGCACGTCCCTGACCACGGCACTGTCGGGCATGATGAACTCGTTGGGCTGACACACCACCGTGGCCACCCCACCCACGATGACCCAAGGGTTTACCACAGTCTGTCCGCCAGTCACCGCCGTCCCGCCTTCCTCGGCAGCATCCCGAAAGCCCCTGACCAGGAGCGGGGTGACCTTCTCCCGCTCCTCCTCCGTCATCTTTGGTTCCTTCTCCAGTGAACGCGGACCAACCATCAGAGGTGAGCGTGGCGACTGAGAGAGATCAATTTTTAACAGGGAGTAAAAAGAAAGGATAGCGAAAAACTAAAGCAAGAACAGGGTAAGAGAAACACGGGGTCTGCTATCGCGCCTGCCTGGCCGGGCGGGAGGGAAGGAGAGCAGAGTCCCCTTTGGTTCCTTCTCCAGTGAACGCGGACCAACCATCAGAGGTGAGCGTGGCGACTGAGAGAGATCAATTTTTAACAGGGAGTAAAAAGAAAGGATAGCGAAAAACTAAAGCAAGAACAGGGTAAGAGAAACAGGGCAAAAAGAGAATGTGAGGAAGAGAGTGTTGGTATAAAGAAAAAATTGAGATAGAGTAAAATAATGCTGTAGGAAAAATAAAAATAGAATGTAGAACACTAATCCAAAAATAAAATAAAATAAAATAAAACTGAAGAAAAGGTAAATAATAGTAGTAATAATAGTAATTAAAAACAAAAATATAAAAAAAGGTAAAATCAGGTGAGAAAGAAAAAAAATTAGTTTTTCAAGTAAAAGATAAAAAATAAAAATGTGAAGTAGTGAAGGTCATTCACTTCCTCTACTGTTCTGCTTGGCAGGTCTGTTTCCTGTCAGGTAGACAGCCCAGTATTGGAGCTCCTCTGCGTCATAAACCACAATCCTTTTTTCAAGCAGTTGGGAGCTCTTTGTTTCTTAGTCTGCCTTTAGTTGCATTCACATAAGAGCCAATTTCTGATACAACCCCTGGGTGGCAGTGTTTCTGTATTGGTATCCGGGACTAAAAGGCTCCTCCCCTACCCAGTGTTTAGATGGCTTTCCCTGCCACACGTAATGCTGGGTTAGAGGGATGGACTGCCCTAGAGCTGCCTTCCTGTTCGTTTCTCCACACTCTGTTCTCCAGGTTCCACAAAAACAGCTTTCTCCTGCAGTCTCGGCGAGTGTTTTTTAATTGGAAGATCCTCTGTACTGGGCTTAGTAATCAGAAGCAAGGATTTAAAAAAGAAAAAGAAAAAAAAAGAAGAAAAGAAAAGAAAAAGCCACAGAGTGCGCACAGACTCGAGTCTTCCCCCTGGCACTCCGCAGTTGGTGCACTGGCAGAACTCCAGACTGCCCTCCTGTGCCCAGCCCTGCCGTGGGTTAATTTCTATAGTCTCCTTCTGCTCGCAGACCTGTGGAACCCCTTCCGTATTCGAGGGCTATACTTACGCCAGCAGCGAGTATTTTGTGGGGTGCAATCTTCCTTTGAGACTCTAGTTCCCGCTGTACGCATTTCACGCCTGGTTCCCGCGCATTTTTCCCTTCAGCCTAGACCCCAGATCTCACTTCTCCCTAGGCCAGTGGTTCTCAACCTTCCTAATGCTGCGACCCTTTAATATAGTTCCTCATGTTGTGGTGACCCCCAATCATAAAATTATTTTCGTTGCTACTTCATAACTGTAATTTTGCTACTGTTATGATTCGTAATGTAAATATCTGAAATGCAGGATGTATTTTCATTGTTACAAATTGAACATAATGAAAGCATAGTGATTAATCACAAAAACAATATATAATTATATGTGTTTTCCGATGGTCTTAGGAGACCCCTGTGAAAGGGTCGTTCAACCCCCAAAGGGGTCGCGACCCACAGGTTGAGGACCGTTGCCCTAGGCAATAGCTGACCTTTCCATCCACGGATTTCCTCACCGTCCACGGATTTCTCACCAGCTGTGTTTGATTCGCCAGTTCTGGGTGGATATTAATTGATTCAGCTGTTCCTTCTCTGCTCTGCACTTTATATGGTTTCAGAACACAAAATATTTGTTTTGAAAATCGTAAATGAGAAATTTCAGAATTAAACACTTCCTACGTTTTTTTTTTTGTTTTTTTTTTTAATGTGAAGATGGGGAATTTTATTTATTTAGCCACTGGGACCGCCGTGCTGAGTCACAGTTCTGCACCGGACACCATTTTTCTTTTTATTTTTAATAAATTCTTTATTGTTGAAAGTATTACATATATCTCCTTTTTCTCCCATTGACCACACCCAGGCTGCTCCCTCTCCCCCTACCCCCCACCCCCAGCACTTGTCTCCACCCTCTTCTGTCTGTGTCTTTTGGTTATGCTTATCTGCATGCATACAAGTACTTTGGTTGGTTGATCACTTACCCCCCTTTCCCACCCTCCCCTGCCTTTTCTCCAAGGCTCGTAGGTCTGTTCGATGCTTCTATGTCTGTGGATCTATTTTTGTTACTCAGTTTATGTTGTTCATTATATTCCACAAATGAGTGAGATCATGTGATATTTATCTTTCTCCAACTGGCATATTTTGCTTAGCATAATGCTCTCCAGTTCCTTCCATGCTGTTGCAAATGGTAAGAGTTCTTTCTTTTTACAGCAGCATAGTATTCCATTGTGTAGATGTACCATAGTTTTCTAATCCACTCATCTGCTGCAAGTGGGAGTTCCATTTTTAACTTTTTGAGGAAACTCCATACTGTTCTCCACAGTGGCTGCACCAGTCTGCATTCCCACTAGCAGTGTGCAGGGTTCCTTTTTCTCCACACCCTCTCCAGCACTTGTTGTTTGTTGATTTGTTGATGATAGCCATTCTGACAGGTGTGAGATGGTGCCTCATTGTCTTTTTGATTTGTATTTCTCAGATGATTAGTGACTAAGTTTTAACTTGAGCACCATTCTGGGTAGTGTGATGAAATCTCACGCCATCCAGCTACATTCCACCTGGACGTGAATCATGCCTTTACCCAGTTTATCCATCTGTACACTCCTCACCTCTTAGTCACTCAGTGGCCATCTCAATGAACAGATAGACAGTCATGGTATAGCAGTGCTTGTGTTCAAGTGACCCCAATTTTACTTAATAACAGTCCCAAAGCAAAAGAACAGTGATGCTGGCAATTTGGACACGCCAAAGACACCCGTAAGTGCCTTCTTTAAAGGGAAAGGTGAGTATAGCACAATAGGATATTTAGAGAGAGAGAGAGAGAGAGAGAGACCACATTTGCATAATTTTTATTACAGTACTAGAGGTCCGATGCATGAAATTCGTGCAAGGGGCTCAGCCCTCGCAGCCCTGGCTGCCTCAGCCGGCCCTTGCAGCCTCAGCCAGTCCTCACAGCCCTTCACAGCCTTGGCTGGCCCTCACAGCCCCAGCTTCATCCAGAAGGTTCTCTGGAAGGATGTCTGGAAGATCGTTCAGCTGTTCAGTCTAATTAGCATATTAGCTCTTTATTATATAGTGCCGGGAGCCAGTCCATCCTTGCTGTTTCAAGGGACCTGGCATATATGGCAT